TCTGAGTAGTGAGAAAGAAGACAAAAGTAAGAAAGGTTAGTAGTCCGGAGAAGAAAAGAAGAGAGCTGAGACACAGTAATAGTTGGAATTCGTTTTGTATGGTTGTTGTTCTTTCTGGTTGTAACTTTCCTAATATTCATAATAGCAGGGTTAGATTTGGAACTCTCCATCCACATCTCACTTGCTCTCTTAATGTTTCTGGAAATTAACATGCCATATTTGATTATAACACAATCAATATTTAGAGCCCATCACATGCAAAATACAACAGTGAAACGTCAATGCTACATAGAAATGTCTGATAAAATTATAGGTACTTCGTTTTTAGCCTTATACTTTTCTGTCTTTTCCAAGAATTCTGCTATGAACAGTAACCTCCTAAGAGTCACTCTCAACTAGAATTTTTTTTAACTGCCTGGTAATTAAAACAATGCCGCGCCGGGCGCGGTGGTTCAAGCCTGTAATCCCAGAACTTTGGGAAGCTGAGGCGGGTGGATCACGAGGTCGAGAGATCGAGACCATCCTGGTCAACATGGTGAAACCCCATCTCTACTAAAAATACAAAAAATTAGCTGGGCATGGTGGCACGTGCCTGTAATCCCAGCTACTTAGGAGGCTGAAGCAGGAGAATTGCTTGAACCCAGGAGGCGGAGGTTGCGGTGAGCCGAGATCGCGCCATTGCACTCCAGCCTGGGTAACAAGAGCAAAACCCCGTCTCAAAGAAAAAAAAAAAAGAAAAGAAAAAGAAAAGAAAATGCCATTTCACATCTCCCAGAGTTTTTAACATGAGTGCTGCCTATTCCTGCTTCATTCCTTCTTTTTCTCTTCAAACAGCCAGTTTCCAAAATGAGATGTTCTGGTTTGATGGCAGGCCAGGATCAAATTCAACTACTCCTGAATTTCACAAGCCTAATGTTTCAAAGGAAAGATTTCAGCTCATTTGACACATTCTAACATACTTGTGCTTGATGAAGCATTACTTACGTGAACCATTAGCTTGAATAATGTGTGAAAGCAAAACGGCAGTTTTTTAGGCAGTCACTGATTGTTCTTCCCTTGGTGCTTCTGAAAATGAATGTTGAGAGGCAAAGAAAAGGGTGTGGCAGGTGATGAAGGCTGTCCTTCTCTGGAGACCCGGCACAGGGTTTCTGCAGTGGCACATGCAGTGTTGAGAATGGAACGCACAGAAATAGGTACCCAGCCATCCAGATCAGACCTAGTGCTCAATCAGAAGGAAGATTTTGCAGCCAAACGATCATCACATCCCACAACTATGATCTAGTGCTCAGTCTTGAGTCCTAGGATGTGAGACAGAAAATCCGTGGTGCTCAGGTGTGTCTGAACAGCTAGGACTCCACTGGGTTAGCCAACTCTATGCTTAGTTAGGGTTTCTATTTTTAAACTCTATATTCATGCAGCTAACCTTTTTTTTTTTTTAACTATGCTGGTTAATTTTAATGCTATCTTTAAAAGATGAGAGCTAATTGAGAGAAAAAGAGAGCAGACACAGATAGCTTGGGCATCTCTCTGGCTTCAGTCACAGCTCAATCCAATATAGTTCCCACCCCGGGTGTTCAGAGTCTCTTATTTTGGAGTTAGACCCAGCTGGGGCTTGAAACTGGCTCCAGACGTTCAGTAGCATTAGCAGATGGTGGAATCCTCAAGGAAGTAATTCTACTATGGGTTTTCTATTCCCTAACCAGGTCTTTGAGCATAATGTGCTTTCTCACCAGCTCACTCAGACTCCTCATTCTGTAACTAACCAGTCTCTCCCTAGCTCTACTCAAGGAAGAAATTACAAAACAGAGAGAGAGACAGAGACAGAGAGAAAGAAAGTAAGAAGAGAGAGAGGTCATAGTCCAACATATTCCATACATGCTGGTGGGAAGCCAGAATTTTCTTTTCTTTTTTTTTTTTTTTTTGCTTCCAGTCATAAGGATTTCTTACTGCCCACCCCTCCCACCCTCAAATGCCATTTTTCTATTTTTAGCTTTGTTTTTGTTTTAAGAAATCCTTTTCTTCACTCTTATCTGGTGATTCTTAATTTCAAAACAATTGAAATCTTCACCAACCATCCTTTAGCAGAAGCAGTGTCTGGGTTTGGATTAGAAATATCCCTGTCACAAGCACAATGGCTCATGCCTGTAATCCCAACTCTGGGAGGCAGAGGCAGGAGGACCACTTGAGCCCACAAGTTCGAGACTAGCCTGAGCAGCATAGCGAGACCCTATCTCTACAAAAAATAAAAAAATCAGTCAGGTGTGGTGGCACCTGCTTGTGGTCCCAGGTACTCCGGAGGCTGACGCGGGAAGACTGCTTGAGCCCAGGAGTTCAAGGCTGCAGTGCGCTATGTTCACATCACTTCCTGCCCTCCAGCCTAGTAACAGACCAAGACCCTGTCTCAGAAACATAATTAAAAATAATTTTAAAAAATTCTTCTCAGTCTTACACTTCCAACTATTTTGAGAGTGATGATTGCTAAAAACAGGCCAGGCGAGGTGGCTCACGCCTATTATCCTAGCACTTTGAGAGGCCGAGGCGGGCAGATCACTCGAGGTCTGGAATTCAAGACCAGCTTGACCAACATGGTGAAACCCTGTCTAGACTGAAAATACAAAAAATTAGCCAGGTGTGGTGTCAGGTGACTGTAATCCCAGCTATTTGGGAGGCTGAGGCAGGAGAATTGCTTGAACCTGGGAGGTGGAGGCTGCAGTGAGCCGAGCTCACACCACTGCACGCCAGCCTGGGCAACAGGAATGATATTCTGTCTCAAAAAAAAAAAAAAAAAAGTATTAAAAATGTTGGGTTTTGTTTGCTTCTTATTTGTTTAGTTTGAGAAGGGTCTCACTCCCAGTTGGCCAGGCTGGAGTGCAGTGGTAAGATCACAACTGACTGAAGCCTGGACTTCCTGGGCTTAGATTTTTTAAAAAATAAAATCATACTTGCAAAAAAAAATCCCTACTTAAACCAAAAATATGTATTTTTTAAAGTAGTCCACAAAATGGATATTTGGTTTGGGTTTTTGCTTGTTTTATTTTATTTTATTTTTTTCTTGGCCAACCAATATTTCCCCATTCTACTCATTTACACGCCTGGTCCCATTGATTTTACGGGTTTCCAGTTAGCCAGCTTTGGTTTCTGTTGTTCATAAACAGAAATACTAACCAATACAACTGGTCTCCCTGTCCCCCCTCACCTGTACTTCCTATTCTGAAACTTCCAGCAATTAAGCATAAATTAGGCAACAATAAACCGAATGCTATCTTCCAGTTTAATTCCCCAGATTATTAGTACACTGGAATTAAGGAAATGAGGCACCACAGTTAATACAGGAAGGGTCTATTTCAGCATGAGGTGTATTCATAAGAGAGAAAGATGTGAGTGCACAAGTGTCCCTCTGAACAGTGGAGGTTAGGACTTAGGAAAATTTACAGTTTTACTCAGTCAGCCTTAGCAAAGAACTGTGTGTGGGAGGACCCCTCCCTTTATTTAGCCTTGGGCTCTGATATGGTACCTGCTTGATCAGAAATAAAGGCCACTAACAGGTCCTTGGGACTCGTGAAGGGGGGTAGGGACAGGAAAAGTCATCATTAAGCAGTGACAGCTGACCTTATAGCTCTCCTTAGTGTACACAGGGGCATTCAAATGCTTTTGTGAACATTATTATCTTTGCTGTGCTTCCCAGCAATGCTGGGTGGAGACAGAGCAGATACTGCAGTCTCCATTTTACTGTTGACAATACTGAGCTTCAGACAGATGAAGTAAGTTTTCTTTCTCTTTTTCTTCTTTCTTTCTTTGATTTTTGTTGTTTTTGTTTAGAGACAGGGTCTTCCTCTGTCACCTAGGCTAGAGCACACTGCAGACTCCAACTCCCACTCAAGTGATCCTCCCACCTCAGCCTCCAGTGTAGCTGGGACTACAGGCAGGTGCCACCACGCCTGGCTAAATTTTTGTATTTTTTGTAGAGATGGGGTTTCACTATGTTGCCCAGGCTGGTCTCAAACTGCTGGGCTCAAGCTATCCTCCTGCCTCGGCCTCCCAAATTGCTGGGATTACAGTTGTGAGCCTCCAAAGCGCTAGCCTGAAGTTTTGTTAAGTTTCCAAGGCTGAAACCCACATGTTCTGGCTTCGCCTATAAAGAAATCAAAAAAGTAGACTATGTCATGTATTGGCAAAGTGGAACAAATGGTAAATGTGTGAAGAGTTGTAGACCTTCAATTATTAATAGCTACTATTGCGATAATGCCACCTGTTAGGTCGAGAGACGAGCACCTTACCTTAAGACGAGGACATCTGGTTGCCTATGAGAAGGGACAGGCACGGTATCAGGTGCTGAATTAATGTTTAATGAATGAGCAAGAAAAGACAGGAGACAGAATGAGCAACCTGAGAGAGGGCCTGGTACCCTGTAAGGCGTTTTGATTCAGCAGAGAGTAAGGAGAAGCCCGGTAACACACCAACACTAGGCCCAAGACACCTGGCTCACTGGTCAACTGCAAAAACTTTTAGACTCAGATTTTGTTTTTCTCAGTGACGAGGTCTTAATAAGGAACAACGATTCTGCCTCCCAGCAGCCCACTGCGGCTAATGCTGGTGGAAAACAGTTTCCTTTAGGCTTTGGGTTGCTCCTTTTCCTTTTTGCTTTCACAACCGAAATGCGTGCTCGGAGTGATCCAAGATATCTGGAGAATAGTGGCAGCTTGGAGGTGTTTAATCCCCGTAGATTCCAGACGGCAGAAAGGCGTCCCCGCCTGGTGCCCCGGGCGATCGCTCGCTCCGAGCAGCGTCGCCCAGCGGGCAGAGGCGGCGGGTGTGTTCCGGGCCTCCCTCCTTTACGCAGCACTCGGCGCCCGCAAGCTGCCACCTCCCGGGGCGGCCGGGGGAACTCGGCCGGCGCTGGGAGGCGGGGACCGCGGCCGCGAGGCGCCGCTATTGGCTGACCGGGCGGCGGAGGAGGGGCGGGGAGGCCGTGATTGGCGGGGGCCCGAGCTGAAGGGGGCGGGGCCGCTATTTCAGCGGAGTCCCTGTCGCGGCGCTGGCAGTTGGGCTGCTGGAGTGCGGCGCCACCGCGGAGGACAGGGGGAGCCGTCGGGCGGCGGGCGAGGGGGTAGCGGGGACGCGAGCGGCGGCCGCGGGGCGCAGGACAGGAGTCCGCAGAGCTGCAGCCTTCGAAGGCCAGCCCTCTCCGAGCCCGGGGCTGGGTCCCAGCCGTGACAAGGCGGTAGCCCCGCGCACACCAAAGAGGAGGCGGCTGTGGCGGCAGCGGCAGCCCTAGCCATGCTGTGCTATGTGACGAGGCCGGACGCGGTGCTGATGGAGGTGGAGGTGGAGGCAAAAGCCAACGGCGAGGACTGCCTCAACCAGGTGAGGGCGAGGGGCAGGAGGGGGTTCTGGCGGGTCCCGTGAGGCCGAGGGGCCTCACAGCGACGCCGGGCACACGGGCGCGCCGCCTACCAGGGGCTGGGCGGCACTGCGGCGGCGGCGGCGGCCGGGGGAAGCGCGTCCCCTCCTCTCCACGGGCATGGGGCGCGCGGTCTCCTCCTGGCGCGCCTGGGGTGCGCGGAGGACGTGCGCAGCGGGGGGCAGCAGGGATCCACCCCCCATCCCCCATCCCCCCCAACCCTGCACTTTACCGGAAGAAGGCGGCCCCGCACACCTGCCGCAGGTATGTGCGTGATGCCGCCTGTCGGGTCCCCGCGGCGCCTGGCAGTACCATCCGCGTGCCAGGATGGGATGGAGTGGCTCGAAGCAGTCTCCGGCCCCAGGGGTCCTTGGCAGACAAGCCCGGCCCTTGTCTCACGCTGCTTCTCAGGCTGCTTCTCAAGTGCACCATTCACCTACATCTCCGGGTTTGCGGGGGCACGGGAGGACTAGCTTTGGGTCATCTACTGCTCAGTTGTTTTTAAGCATGTGTTGTTTCCTTAAGAGTGAGGGAGATCGGTGCCAACTAGTGCATAGGTGGTATAGCAGACGGCAAATGTGATCCCAGGGAAACGCTGTGCCCTCGACCCCTCTAGCTCTGAGATGTTTGGGAAACCGCTTTCGAAGCTTAGCTGACACTTGTGGCATGTTCCTTCAATGCAGTTTGATTTTTGGAATCCAGATGGTTAAAATAGCCCAGATAATAAGTCGCCAGAAATCAGCTGTGCAGAGTATGCTGCTGGAGGGAATTCCGGTGATTGGAACAAGAAGGAAAATACCCTGTAGTTTCCCCTCCTCATCCTTTTGGAAGGCTGCTTTTGAGGACTCCTTTTTTTCTCTATTGCAACTGGTCATGCCCTAGATGTTAAAGGTAATTACGAGTCTCCGTATTACAGCTCGTGGTTTGGTAGCATTGGAGCCGTAGAACTTGGGTTTTTCCAGTTTAGATCAGGAATTATAACACCGTCGAACTTTGTGAAAAGTACCAGCAATCTCGGTCTCAGGGAGCCGTTGAGTTTGCTTTGACATGTACCATTTGCTCATCCAGGCTGCATTCCTTTTTGTTTTAGGTATGCAGGCGACTGGGAATCATAGAAGTTGATTATTTTGGACTGCAGTTTACGGGTAGCAAAGGTGAAAGTTTATGGCTAAACCTGAGAAACCGGATCTCCCAGCAGATGGATGGGCTAGCCCCTTACCGGCTTAAACTGAGAGTCAAGTTCTTCGTGGAGCCTCATCTCATCTTACAGGAGCAGACTAGGTAAAGTGAGCTAAAATAAACCAGTGTCAAATAGACCTTTGGTTCCCTTTAGAAGGGCCGCTGCATCTTCCCAGAGATACTCACAGGCAAGTTTGTTTTGATCCAGAGTTCCATCCATTGTCCATGGCAGTCCTTTTGTTGAGGTGAAGAGGGAGCTACCTACTTGGCCTGAGTGGATTTTCCAATCTTTCTTTTAGTTTTTCTTGTCTTTATAAACTTGATGGGTAAGCAGGATTGAATTCTTACAAACACTTAAGATAAGTGCTACCTGAGAAAAAAAGAAAGAAAGAAAAACCATCAACCAGACTGATTTCCTGATAGCAGCATCTTAGTGCCCGATAGTAACCTCTGCCTCAGCCGTGTTACTATAGGTCATTGTAGACTGTTCTAACAGAAAGCAGGAAACAGTTCCTCTTGGGTTACTTAAACTTGGTCAGTTTCTTCAGCCTAGTGTCAGATTACAGTGTGCAGCAGAGAGCACTGTCTGACTTCATGCAGAATTTTTAAAGTTTTTAACTTTCTTGAAAATGTAATTTCATTAACCCTTCTAAGGCTGCTGTAACTGAATTCCATCCCACAGACATGTTACACACGATTGGTGAGTTTAGATTGAAGTTCTCTCTCTACGTTGTAAAACACCACAGTCAGTGGTAGACAGCTGAAGCATGTGGTCTCATTTTTCAAACAAAATATGTTCCCCCTGGACTGACTCTAATACTTTTCTCAAAAATGAGCCAAACTAGGAAACTGATATGTAATATTTATTGCTGAAAGGCAAGAGACTTCGATCTTAATAGTGGCATATCAAAAAATTAAAAAGGAAAACACCTACTTTAAAGACATAGCCAACTTTGGATCTAAGTTTTAATGTTTTTCATAATTCTTTGGCTTAGAAATTTGCCATGCATGTGAAAAATGTGATTCTAAAAATTTTAGGCAATGATGAATGAGCATTATTCTTTAAGAGTTTTTTATGTGACATTTGCTTGTTTGTTTTACCAAAGAACTGATAGAAACTCATTTTGAAATGCTATTCAGGCCGGGCGCGGTGGCTCAAGCCTGTAATCCCAGCACTTTGGGAGGCCGAGGCGGGTGGATCACGAGGTCGAGAGATCGAGACCATCCTGGTCAACAAGGTGAAACCCCGTCTCTACTAAAAATACAAAAAGTTAGCTGAGCATGGTGGTGCGTGCCTGTAATCCCAGCTACTTAGGAGGCTGAGGCAGGAGAATTGCCTGAGCCCGGGAGGCGGAGGTTGCGGTGAGCTGAGATCACGCCATTGCACTCCAGCCTGGGTAACAAGAGCGAAACTCCGTCTCAAAAAAAAAAAAAAAAAAAAAAAAAAAAAAAAAAAAGAAATGCTATTCATTTGAATTTGAAATCTCCACTTTGCCTTGTAATCGAGCTTTAAAGGTTGAGACAGATTCATGGAATTCTTGGTGCCCCTGAAAATATCTTGCAAAATGTTCAAGTGATTGCCTGCTTAAGGATGTTTTAGCTGTCTGCATTAATCAGAATAGGCCTTTTTAAATTATTATTTAAAGCTGATTTGTGGAAGCTTTTTGCTTCACTGTCATAACTTGTAGTCAAGTACAAGAAAAGATATAACCCAGCATGTTGGAATTTTCATTGTGTAGTCCTATTATGATTTTGTAATTATTTCAAGGCCTCTAGATGCACCCCAGTTTTGATGGCACATATTTATTTTTTGAATCTTCAGAAGCTTGGAGTACCAAATAACTGCATTTAAACAATGGCTGCAATGATAATAGCATAATACTTTTAGTTTATGAATATATTCAGACTTTTTTTTTTGAGACACAGTCTTGCTGTCACCCAGGCTGGATGCAGTGGCAGTTTCTGCTCACTGCAACCTCTACCTCTCAGGTTCAAGCAGTTCTCCTGCCTCAGCCCCCTGAGTAGCTGGGATTTCAGGCACCCGCCACCACGCCTGACTAATTTTTGTAAGTAGAAATAGGGTTTCACCATATTGGCCAGGCTGGTCTCAAACTCTTGACCTTGTGACTACCCACCTCAGCCTCCCAAAGTGCTGGGATTATAGGTGTGAGCCACAGTGCCCAGTGTATTCAGACTTTATGATTGACTAGTAGATGATGTCTACCTGTGCTTTCCTGTAACTGGGTTAGTAACTATTATCAAATCAATTTTATTCATGTAAGAAATAGAGACATTTTATGAATTAGAACTGGAATCAAATTTCCTGTCTTGGTTTCTCCTTTATTGATTCAATTGACATGGACTCTCGAGATTCATAATAGCACTCAGAGAATATACATACCTAGTTCAACTAGGTAATTTTAATCCCTTTTTGAAGTTGTACTGAAAAGTTAGTGTGGCCTTAGGATTTAACTGCTTTTAATATATTGGTCAATTTTACTTGGTTTTGTGCGGTTGGCTGAAATACATAACAGCACTTAAGTTTTCATAACTAGGTAAAGTGATTTGTAATTAGCATTTGTACCTCTTAGTTAGGACATCAGAAGCTGAACTGGGTCTCATTACAATTAGCATTGTTCTTAAATGCCCGAAACTATAGAATAAAAATGCTTATGTTTATAAATGCTAGTAAATAAAGCTGGTTCATAAACTTCTTTGATGTTTATTTGTTGTAAAATACTTATATAAAGTGCCATGAATATACAGTAGGTCTGTTTATGTAGTGAGTAAATTTAGCTTTGACTATCCAGTTATGAGAGGTGATTTGTTTTTTACTCTTTTCTGAATCATGAGGGTGCATGCAGTATACAGAAAGCGTCTAGACAGTTTATTAAGTGGTGCTGAAATATCCTGGCAGAGTTGTCCTCTGGGGACAATCAAGGTAGCCAAGCTGGGGAGGGCAGTTAACATATGAGTTCAATATCAGATTGGGGGGCCCTTGTGAGAATGATAGGCAGGCAGGCCTGTGTGTCATAGGACAGCCCCAGGGAACCAGGCAGATGCCCTGTATTGTAGTTCCAGCTCTGCCAGCAACTACCAGCCCTCCGCACTGCCACGGGCCCAGTTCTACCTCCTACTTGAAAGCCCCTGAAGAGATGGTTTCTAAATTTCTCCTAGCAGTAACTTTTTTCATTGCTTTTGTGTCCTCTTTATATTATTTTCCTTAATGTTTTCCTAAATATGTGTCTCTGAAAACAGAAAAAACACATTGTGTCTGCTTAGATTGGTAGGTAAAACTCTGATGTGGCCTAGTTTTAGATTTGGTTTTTCTATCCAGATTATGCTTTGCCCCTGAATATGAGCCTCAAATGGAAAAAGAGAGTCTTTTACTTTTCAGCTGGCATATTACAGAGTGGAGACAGCAGGTACTTTCAGCAGATGTTTGCCATGCTATGGATGAAAATGAATAGTGAAACAAATTAATGTATTCTGGAAGCAGATTGGAAATAATAATCATCTTGGAAATTCTTGCCTTTCAAAGGCTTTGAGTTAACTACAAGTTCCAACTGGATTTTGTCAACATTTCCAAAACCAGAGATTAGAGAAATATATGCTTCATCTTCACAATGGTAGTTATCCAACCACTGCCAATAAAATCTATATTTCTCCTGACTTAGCCATGATTTAGCAAAGTTCTGTAGTCTTTGCTAGGAGATGCTTTGCTTAGGTAAAACTCACCAACACATGGATTCTCTTTCCCAGAAAACAACCCCAGTCCAAGAGCTCTGTGCGTCTCAGACTAAGTGTTCACACAAATGCTTTAATCCTGGATGTTAAATTTCATCCAGATTTCATTGATGCCAGCAGTGATGAGTTTGACTCCCCTCTTGCTAAATGTGTCCTACCTTTGTGACTTCATCTCTATCCTCAGCCCTCAGGAAAGCCTTCTCTGGCTTGCTTGGGAGACTAAACTCTCCCAAGAAATCAAGCATCTTTCCTTTATAGCATTGAATGAGCTTATAATACTACTTATACTTATGTGACAATTTATTATCAGTCACTCTAATAACCTAAACTCTATTAAACAGGGAGATGATCAACATTGTATCCCCAGAGTCTGATAAGTGGCTGTTGCATATTATTGAATCATAGAATTAAGAACTTGGAAGTAAACAAAAATGGGGTTGACATGATACTACTAAGTTTTCCTAATAGATATTGAGGTGTTTTTCTTTGCTTCTACAAACTGAAAAGCTGAGAGTATCTAAAAAAAAAAATCTCACCACTAAAACAATGTTTTGAAGTGATTATTTTCTGTTTGAACTTAACTTAGAGCTTCTTCACATTCTTTCGCTTCCTTTCTTTCATCCCCTCTACCCCATCCCAGACCATGTGTTTATTGTAGCTACTAGTCCTTCCCTAAAAGAAACTACCACTTATCTGGGTCTTCTATGAAGGTCAGGTAGTTTTCAAGTTACAGCATCACTTTAACTGCAACCCATTTATAGTCCAAAGTACATATTAACAAGCTATTTCCCTGCCTTCCAACAAAAATCTCTTTTAGATATGTGGAAATCTAGGAAAGATAACATCATTGAAAACCACAGAGCAAATGCCACATGCAAACCATAGGCAGATGGTAATTCCAAGCCAATTCAGTACTCGGTCACATTGGTGCTAGCAATACCTGTAGATCATGTCCAAAGTCTTTCAAAACTGTCAGTGTTAGTAAAGATTTCTTACATAATTTACCTTTGTGTGAATCAGAGTGGCTAAGTTCTGTCTGGTGCTGTTGCAGTAGTAGTGATCTATTATAAAAGTGTCATTTATGTTCATCATACCAACCATATTCCTGAGAGTAGAAATATATATATAATTATATATGTGTGTATGTATTGTTCATATATATATGTATATCTATGTATGTATGTATTGTGTATATGTATATGTGTGTGTATATAATATATGTGTGTGTATATAAGTGTGTGTGTGTGTGTGTGTGTGTGTGTGTGTGTGTGTATTTGCATACCCAAACCCAAAATAGGCTCTGTAAAGTAAAAAGGTTAAAAGCAGGAATGTAGTTATTTCCAAAGAAAGTACTA